CCTCCACAACTAGACTGAAGAACAAAACGACAGCAACTTGTCTGTTCTCCTCCCACAACTCCCCAATAAAATCTTTGGGAAAAAAAAAAAAAAAAGAAAAGAGACCTGTTAACCAGAGGCCACTTGCAGTGAGATAAAGAGCCCCAGAAAAACAAGGTTATGGTACCCTTCTTGTATTGTCGCCAGTTGTCCCCAGTGGTCGGCTACTCAGGACTCTTGTTGGTTTGTTACATGACCCGACCATAGGGCTTATTTGGGTCATTTTTAGAAGAAATAGAAAGTGTCTGCTGATTTGCAGACTTTCTTTTTTTTCCAACATGTGATTTCTATAAGGACTTTGTTAACTCCCTATGCTACTTCCTGAGGCAGAAAAGAATGGGGGTGCTGCTAGTCCCCAAACCACTGCCCTGCATTGCACAGCACCGACGCTCGCCTTGACACCGCACCCAAACCAAAAGCCTGGGGTGGCTGGGAGGTGGAAGGCAGGGAGGGAAGCTGTCCTCCTTCTTACAGCTGCCAGGTGCAGGCTTCTTCCTCTTGCCCCTTTGCCCCTCTGCCTCATGCGATTACCCACCCCCGCAATGGTATCACAAGACGATGGTTTGGGACAGATGGTAGGCATCCTGCTAGTGACTGCCTGTACTCGGCGAGGCTGAATTGGAAGCAAAAATCCCCACCCCAAGGGCTGAAGATTTCCTGGGGAACCTGCTCTCATGGCTCACACGTGTAGGGTCGCCAGATGGAACAGGTGACACCCAGTCAGATAGTACGTGGAACGTACTCAGCTTTCAAAATTATTTGTTGTTTATCTGAAATTCAAGTTTAACTGGCTGCTTGTATTTTTATGTCCTGTGTCTGCCAAGCCTACATGCAGGGTCATTCCAGTAAAGGCTAGTTTTTGAAGTTGACGACACTTGGGGAAGGAAAAAGGGAGTTAAGTCAAAAGACCTAAGTGTGAGCTAGCAACAGCACCAGTAGCTTCCAGCTTCGTGACTGTGGGTAAGGTGCTTACGTTTTCAGAGCCTCACTTAACTTAGCTGTGAACATGGGAACATCGTTACTTGCCCCGCGTTTCTGAGTTGTTATGCTGATCAGTGAGATTATCAATAAGAATCAAGTCCTTTGAGTTCCTAGCTCTTGAGTGAAAGCCAGTAATGATTTCAGAAGGAGCTGGAAAGAAGAAACAGTATGAAACGTTACCATATTGGCTTAGAATGCAGAATTGGCTTGAAGATGAGCAACAAAAATAAACTGCTATATGTTTTCTTGCAGTTGGTCCCATACTTCTTGTATTTTTTTTTTTTCTTACCCAGCAAGTGAACTACACAAACTCTTGCAGCCGTTTTTGCTGAGGCGAGTGAAAGCTGAGGTAGCCACGGAGCTTCCCAAGAAGACAGAAGTAGTGATATACCACAGCCTGTCAGCCCTGCAGAAAAAATACTACAAGGCCATTTTGATGAAAGACCTAGGTAATCAGAGAGCACCTGTCTGTTTGGAAACTAAATGCAGATGTGATGTTCATTCGGGGAAATATTTTATATTCACACTCGCTTTGTCTAGCAATAGTATGGGATGGAATTTGTATTCCGATGAATATTCAGGTCAGTTCTAGGGAAACCCACAGAGCATCTTTAACATGCTCAGACTTTACTGGTGGTTGCAGTTCTGCAATTTCTTTTTCCCTCCCACCCAGAGTTCCTTATTGCCTGTCCTGAAGCGCAAACACTTGTAGGTGTCCCACTCATGACTCTCATTCTCCCCGCCTGTCAAACATTTAGCACATTGTGAAACCATTTTTGTTGAATGAGAATCACTGGGAGTAATTGAGAGTGGGAGGGAGAAACGGGAGTGGAACAGTCTCTCAATTCGCACTTTTTTGTCCTTCGGCTCCACAACAAGCGTTAAAGAAGGAAATTTAGAATTGACAAAAGAGCAACAAAGTACCCTGAGTTCAATTTATACTTAGCTTCCTTCTTACAACAACGAGATGGTTAAGAAAACTTCTCATGGATGTGCTGTTAACTCTTAATGCAACTCAATGAAATGTGGGAAGTTAATATAGGTTTGAAAGATATATTATTAAAATGAGGATGGTTATTTATGGAAACTTAGAGGGGTTTTTTTTGGTTGTTATTGTTCAGTCGTCTCCCTCTCTTTCTGTCTCTCTTTAAAATTTTAGATGCATTTGAAAATGAGATGGCAAAGAAGGTTAAACTACAAAACGTCTTGTCTCAGCTGCGGAAGTGTGTGGATCACCCGTATTTGTTTGATGGTGAGGCACTGCCCTTCTTTCTCATGTTACTTTTTGTTAATGTTCCTGTAGGCAACATCATAGCAAAATTCCTGAAAAGAATTGCCTGTATTTACTGTCGATTTTTGCCCCGTTTTCTCTTGTCAGTTTTTTAATGTTGATGTTATTTAATATATTGTTCATATTCAAATTTCTTCAGTTTTCCCCTTAATGTCCCTTATGGGGTTGGTTTTTTTTAATTCAAGCTCCAGTGATAGATCCTGCATTACACTTGTCATGTCTCTTTATTCTCCTATCATCTAGAAACATTTCTCAGTTTTTGTTTTTTGTATTTTTTTTGTATTTTTTTTTTTGGTCTTTCATGAAACTGACAGTTTTGAAGAATCAAGGCCGGTTGTTTTATGGGTTGTTTCATAATCTGCATTTATTTGATCATTTCTTCATGATTAGATATCCCTTTATCTTAAACCCACTTAGTCAGCCTTTCATCACCATTCCTAGTTCACCTTTGATCTCCTTGTTGCCCAACCAATGGTTGTCATTTGCCATTTTAATTAACCTCTTAAAACCTTTGACACAGTTCTTTCTTGTTCTCCACTTGGCTTCTGGGGCAACGCTTTTTCTTTCTCTCTCTTTTTTTTTTTTTTTTTTTAAAGTGAAGGCAGTTTACTGAGAGGTAGCCTACTCCACAGCCAGAGTAGAGGCTGCCCTTGGACGAGAGACAGCCAGCGCTTTTTCTTCTCCACCAGCCTTACGTCTATTCCTTCTCAGCCTCCTTCGCTGCTTTCCCTTCATCTTGTGGATGCCTGTAAATTTCCCTCTGAGTGCAGCTTTAGCTGCATTCTACACATTGTGATATGTAACGTTTTCATTTTTATTCGCTGATTGGTAGCCTTTGCGACAATTCAGCACTTCTGTGGTCACAGGGGCCCTGGTTTGGAGAGAAGCAATGCAGTAGGTTTACTGCAGTCATTTTAGGGGAGTCTTTGCCAGGTGGCAGCACTATGACTTATTTTAAAATGTCACAGAATCTTAATTAGGTGCATATCAGGGAAGGGGGTGTTGGGAACAGGTAGATTTTGAAAGAGGCACCTCCAGATGACCCTGACCGCCAGCCCCCACCTGGAAACTCACTAGTTCATACATCTAAACCTATTTCTCAGTTTGTTTCCCAGAGTGAGCACCTCAAGATTTCAATTTGGGATCTTTTTGGCCTTCAGCCTCTCCCTGTGCCTGTTTTGTAACCAGTGGGCTTGTTCCTTGGATAAACATTAATTAGGCATGGTGGGTGTGCCAGGCTTGGTGATTGACAGTAAGCAGAACTGAGATCATCATGCACACAAACAATTATAAAACGCCTCAAAGAGACACAAGACTTGAGCACATTATCAGTTAGAAGGAGCTGGGCCTCTGGCTGCAACCTGGCCGGCGGCTTCTCCATTCAGGGAGCCTGCCCTGCCTAGAGACACACTGGTGGGAGTGGGCTCTTTCTTTTCTAGGTGTGGAACCAGAGCCTTTCGAAATTGGAGACCACCTGATTGAGGCCAGTGGGAAACTTTACGTGCTGGATAAGCTGCTGGCGTTCCTGTATTCCAGGTAGGTGGTAGGCTCACGTTTTCTGCTCTGAGGAGGTGACTGTTAAAACAAGAATGAGCAGCTCCCTGATTTCTTGAGACCAATTCCAGTTTTCTTTTTTTTCAAGACGCTGGTTCAGGTTCCGCCTCTTGTGCCACTCCACCTCCCACCCCATTGCCTCTCCTCCACAATCATCCTTTCCTTTCCTGAACTCTCCAGCACTTAGGATCCTGATCCCGCCCTTGGCCGTGCTCAGCCTTAACCTGCTCTGGGGCTGACTGGTGCCTATTCACCATCACTCCAGCTGTATTGTTCTCTTCCACAGGGACCGATATTACATCAAGCATTTCTTTTCTAATTGCCTGCTGGCACCTTGCCTTGAGTTGGCACATCCAAGGGCTTAGCAAATACTCACTTGTGTTCACCTGCGATGTTTCGGTTTTAACTCAGGGAGAACTTGGGGGTCTTTTTCCCAGAGACATGAGTCGAGCATCGGAAGACCAAGTCACTTCTGGAGCCTCTATAGTGTCAGCTCTGGGTTCGGTGGCCTGGTGTCCAGCCTATACCTTTCCCCAGAGGGACAGGGGAGTCTAGAAAAATCCCAGCTTCCCAAGGATTTCAGAGGTGTCCTTGGAATGACTGCCCCAGGCGGGCCTAAACCAGCCTAAAACCTCAGATTGGGCAAAACCACCCAACTTTAGGAATATGCAAGTCAAGTAATTACATGTCTTACTATATTTTATTGGCTCTACTATATCTCATGTAAGTGTGTTAGAATTGGAGAAGGACCCATAAACATCTTCTGTCCAACCTTTTCATTTCACAGGTATTGAAATAGGCCCAGAGAGGTCATGTGACTGGCCTAAAGTCACCTGGCCAGCACATGACAGAGATGGGATTAGAATTGAGGTCCTCAACTTCAGGTTCAATGCCTTTTCCCCCCATTTGGGGCTTCAGTCTTGAAGGAGTTCTTTATCATTGCTCCTCTTATACCCATGGCGAGCTCAAATTAAACCAGGTTTTCTAATGAGAATATTGTTTTGACAGTACCACATACTGCTTTGTTTATGCAAACTTAAAATAACTGTTGATAAACTAAGGCTTGACTTCATTCTTGACTTAATCCTTTTTGCCTCCTCCCCTTCTTCCCTCCCCTCTTCCTATCCGTCCGTTTTCTCATGTATCGTGTAGGATGTAGGATGCTCCCTGCCCCTTTGCTTCTCCAAAGTGACACTTCACAGACTTTTCCGCCAGGATAGCTGTAGGTGAGAGGACAGCGACTTTCCACCCCCAAGCAGAGAATAGCTGTAGATGGCTGGGTGTCCAGTTTCTGGTTTTTTATGCATTTGAATGTCACATTGGACTATTCACATATCTTTATTTTGCTGTTTTTTAAGATAAAAGTGTATATTTCTTTCCGTTTTGTAAATTGCCATTCTAGAAAGAGGCACCTTGGTTATCCTGGGGCTTCTTATGCCCCCTGTTGCGTTGACACGTGCTCCTGGGAATATCCCCACTCTGGATGAGAGCTACTGCTCTGAAGGGCATGGCTCCATGGGGAGCCGTGTCCTTATGTAAATTATTTGGCGTTTCTGAGGACATCGCCGGAAATGATCATTACATTTCTATCTGCTTCAGTATTTCACTTATTTGATTCGTCAGTTTTTCCTTTTCCTTTTCTTGCCAGGGGCCATCGAGTTTTACTCTTCTCCCAGATGACCCAGATGTTGGATATTCTCCAAGACTACATGGATTACAGAGGTGACATTCCTTGGCCTCTCCGTTACACAAGCCTTTTCTCAGACGTACCAGCCCAGACAGGTCCATGAAGAGTAATCTGGGGGGTGGAGATGTCACAGAGGAAAGCAGAGAAAGAACATTATTCAAGACCAAAGGAAAATCGAATGTGGAGAGAGAGGGCTGTGATGCCAGGGCCAGCGGCAGGGTAGAGACACGCGGGCAGAAACACACACACTCCCCTCGGTGGTGGGATTTAAAATTTTGGGTACTGGAGAAAACGTGTGCTGCAGAAGCGAGTGTTTTTGAAAATGCCTCATAAACAATTCCAGTGACAAGAGCGTTCAGTGTCCTGCGACACTCAACAGTTGAGTACTTGTTCAAGATCAGTGGAAAGTTAAATCCTGAAATTAAAGAAGTCCCACATATGAACCCAGAGAAAGCCAAAGGACATTTTTTTTCTGTATAGACAATAGAGTATGTAAGTTACTACCCGGGCACTCTGTTTAACATGTAATAATATTTACGTGGGGTGGTGGGAAGAGGCTGTGATATCATGAGATCAGTGGTGAAGAAACAGTTCCAGGGCTTCCTGTTTTAGAAATGAACTCAGAGTCGGTCTCTCAGAGCCACTTGATGTCCCCAGACACTGTAGGACGCCTGGGCCAATGGACACTTGTAGGAAATGCCAGTGGCACGTTGAGGGAGACCCCGCGTCACAAGCACGGCGTGAGCCTGTAACTCTCCTTCCCACCGTGGGCCTGTGGGGAAGCCTGCAGCTTCCCGGAAAGGCTCCTGGGTGCTTGTCTTGCTGCTTTTGTATCCGTGAGAATTGTGCCTTAGCAAAGTGGGAAACAGCCACACCATGCAGGCCATAGAGTGCATCAGGGTTGCTCAGGACAGTCAGCATTGAACATGAACTCCAGGAAGGCCAAGTACATCAACTGCGTGTATGTAAACAGCCCAGAGGAGTACACTGTGGAGAGTTCTTTGGTGAATCAATAAAACGATTCCTCGATTTAGATTTTTCCTATGGGATGCTTACAGGAGGGGCATTCTTGTGTCTGGGAAGGGACAAAATTAGCATTTGGTTTTGAGCTGACAATGTTTTGCTCACCGCAGCGTGTTTGAAAAGGGTTAACGTTTTTGTTTTCTTCCCGTGTGTGAAGGCTACAGCTACGAGCGTGTGGATGGTTCCGTGAGAGGAGAAGAGAGACACCTGGCCATTAAGAACTTTGGACAGCAGCCCATTTTTGTGTTTCTCCTGAGCACCAGGGCAGGTAGGCCACATCCGAGGAGGTGCTGACAAAAGCAGACAAATTGGGGTGATACAGGACTGTTACACCCCAACCCTTCGTATGTCTTTCCGTAATTCCCTGAAAGAGGTCATTACAAGGAGTAGAAACAGAGGGCAACTGAAGTAGTTGCCCCGAGCTTATCAAGGTGCTGGGTTTCCACCATGGGGTTCTTTCCGTCCAACTTACGTGAGCTGTCATCTCATCAAAGAAGAAAGGCTGAGACCTGGGGTTCTTGGGGTCATTCTCACCTGCTTTGACCATTGACCTGGGGTTGTCCTGCAAGATTTGTCATTTTTGTGGAAAGTTTTATTCATAATTCCGTAGAAGGAGCTCTGCTTTCCAGCCATGAAGTCGGGCAATGAGATGGCAGCCTGTCCACCACTTATCCCTTCCCCATAAGTAGCTCTGGACCAGTGTTGTAACAGCTTAATCAAAATCTAGTTTTAAAGAAACTTGTGATTGAAATGAAATTGCCAGCTCTTTGGAATTACCTTTAACATTATCATTATGACTGAAGTCATAAATATTACATGTGACATTTGTAGTGCTTTACCAATGACAGAGTATTTTCATTATACTCTTAAATCATTTGAAATTAGTTCCTGGAGAGGACAGGGTTCTATGTCTGGAGCAGGCCGACTTTGAATTAGTTTTGAACTCACAGACTCTTAGTTTCATTGTCTCTTATTTTTTGTAGACCTAAAGCTTGATGGAATAGATGTGGGAACGCTAAAAGGATGTGTGTCCTCTATTATAGAGAAATGGATCTCTTTATTAAAAGGGAGTTCAGCCTTACTTAGAAAGGGTTTATTAAGCGCCAGGGCTATAAGGGTATATACAAGAAGTGCTACATATAATCCTTGACCCTAAGGAGCTTGTTTCACCTGTGTGTGTCTTATCTCTGTATCACAAAGATATAATCAGATTCATTTGGCCTCATTCACTTCCAAGATCACAGACTGCGCCCTGAATCTCAGCCACTTGCTCGTGTCATCTGTTGTCTCGGCCAGTCTAGGAGACCTCTGCGTTTCAGCTCATTTCCACAGCGTACTCAGAATCAGTCAAAACAGAGTCATCTTTTAGGAGCCAGAGCAGTTCTGGACATGAGCTTCTGCCAAATACTGTCATGTCTGCTATCACTTTTTAGCTGTAGGTTTACAGTATTATCATTTATTTACTTAACAGGTTTCCCTCTGCCTTTCACATATCCATAGTTCCGTGACTGAGTCATGTTGCCACCAGATGGCAGCAGTAGCTCATGAATATGTCCCAAGCAAGTATGGCTGTAGCTTATGTATCAAATGTCATGTAAAACCTCTCAAAGAAGAGCTGCACTAAGACGCCATTCCCCCCAGAAGAAGGTCATTTTTGTGGAGCACATGTTAGTGAACAAGAGCCTGGGAGGTGCTGTGGCGCAGTGGGTGAGAGCGAAGACTCGGGGCCGGACTAGGTGGGACTGAACCCTGGCTCTTCCACTGTCTGGCTGTGCAACTTCTGATAAGCCCCTTAACGTTTCTGTGCTTCTAATATTTTAACATCCATAAAACGAGGATGATAATGGTAACTACTCATAGGGTCGTTGTGAGGATTAAGGAGGTGATATATGTGAAGCGTTTAGAACAGTGTCTGGCACGTCGCTGAGCCTCCTGAGCTCAAGGGTAGCTGGCCTCATTAGAAGGTACAGTTCAGCGTCTCTCTCAGTCATCAGTCTTCGTTATGTCTTTCTCCCAACTTTAATTTTATTCAAAGGCTTTCATTAGAATGTTCCTGCCTGACTTGTGTTGAGATCCAGCTCAGCGCCGTCCGTAGGCCGTCTCGAAAGTTAGTCTTTCGTTCAGGCTCTTGGAGCAAGCCCCTTGCAGGCTTTGCCTGTTTCAGCAACGAGCTGTGACGACCCTGGCGAGAGGGAGTCCCTTTCGTACTTGTTTTCACATTAATCAGAGAGAAGGCTGTAATTTGCCTTCATGGTTCTCTCAGTGAATCCTCGCAGCCAAGAAGCCTCCTCAGCCCTTTCCAGCAGCGCTGAAGGAAGCCCAGAAAGTTACCCCGTGGCATGTTTTTGCGCCGTGATTGGTTTGCTCACCTCCTCTTTGACGAATGTGGAAACAAGTACCGAAAAGCCCAAAGTTTCTCCAGCCAGAGGAAGGTATTTCCCGCTCCACTTGGACTATAATAAATGTTATTGCCTCTTCGCATTAACTTGTATCGGGGGTCTTGCTACTTACTGGTAACTGGCAATGGATGTCAGGAGCTCGTCTCTTAACAGTGCCTATAGCAGACCCCTCTCATCCTTAATTCTTTTTTTTTTTTAAGATTTTTATTGGGGAATTGGGGTAAGGGGAACAGACAAGTTGCTGTCGTTTGGTTCTTCAGTCTAGTTGTGGAGGACGTTGCTTCACTGGCCCAAGTTGGCACCATCATTGCGCTCTTCCCGGGCGAGGCAGATCAGTCGCCGGCTTCTGGACGGCTGCTCACTGCAGCTACTGGCCGCTCACGCTGGCTGCTGGCTACACACGGTAGCCCATGGCAACCCACTGCAGCAGGGGCTTCAGCCTATGCCATCCCTGGCGACTCGGAGCAGCCCAGCTCCAGGTTGAGCTGTTGTTCAGCACCTTAGGTGTGTAGGGCAGTGTCACTGGCCCTCATATGTGGGATCCGAACTGCAGCCCTCTGGCGTCCCAAGCCAGTTCTTAACTATCGTGCCACTCGGCTGGCCCTCATCCTTAATTCTTTTCCGAAAGAGCGTGTGTCCTTTTCCACAGATGCTTCTAAATAAACCAACCAAGATTTTTAAACAGAAGAGATTTGAAATGGCTTCATGGCACCAACTTAAGTCTTCACTCTTGCTGCTTACGCCTATTCCCCTCGTTCTTAAGTCAGGCAGCACTTTCCACCACTAGAAGGTTCTGGAATCGGAGAAAGGGCCTGAGTGTGAAGGAAGGAGCAGTTGTTTTGACAGATCCCAGCTTGAGAGCCTGACCACTGGAGCCTGGGTCTTTTCTCTAGTCCCCAGTCCACGTGCTGCCAGTCACGTTGTGTGCCTTATTTTCAGGTGGAGTTGGCATGAACTTAACGGCGGCAGATACCGTGATTTTTGTTGACAGCGACTTCAATCCTCAGAATGACTTGCAAGCAGCTGCCAGGGCTCACCGAATTGGCCAGAACAAGTAAGAGATTTCAGCATCAGCACTTGTTCACTTCCTTGCTCCTCAGCAGTTCTGGATTGGGGAGGAAAGCCAAGAGCACGGTCCTGGTGGCAGCCCCAGACTGGAGAGCGAGAGGCCGCTATGTGTCAGCCCAGCCTTGCTGCTGGCTTTTCCGGTCGCGCTGGGCAGAGCACATTCTCACTCTAGACTTGTTTTGTGAAAAAGAGCAAAACTAAATTATGGAAGGACTAGAAGGAACCTTTAGAAGTTATTTAACTTATCCCTCCTGAGTTAAGGTCTAATTCAGTTAAAAAATGAAGTGATGTAGCTAATTGGAAAAGAAAGGTCTGACCTTTGACCTTAGGATAATTTAGATTTACCAGAAGTTTTCCTCAGCCACAGAGAAGGAATCCCAGCTATGGTCACCTCAGCGTCCCCCCCCTTGACTCTTGGGAAGGTTCCATGGGAACTTGCGTGAGACCAGAACTCTCTCATTAATGCTTAGTCCACAGGCAACAGTCTCCCTTTCGCTGGACCCCAAACGTGGCGTTTTGGGGTTGTTTCCTGTGTGGTGTCTTAGTCTTGTGTGCCTGCACCCATCTTTGCAGACCCTGATAGCACACTTCTCTCCTTTGACTTCCGTACAGGTGTGTCAAAGTGATTCGGCTGATTGGCAGAGACACCGTGGAAGAAATAGTCTGTAGGAGAGCCGCCTCCAAGCTGCAGCTCACCAACACGATCATCGAGGGGGGCCATTTCACTCTGGGAGCCCAGAGGCCTGCGGCTGATGCTGACCTCCAGGTGCGAGGGAGTGTCCTTCGCTTTAGAATATGTCGGGATTTATAGTCAGTGCTCTCTGTGGATGAGAAAGTCGGTGAAAAGCTCTAGCATGAACCACGCATGCCTCCAACTTCACATTTGGTCCTGGCCCAGCTCTACCTGCCATAGTACCCACTGCGTGCACAACTGCCGTAGGAGCTAAAATGAACGTGATAGAAAAGGGTGGCAGAATATAGAATAACGAGGATGGGCTTTGGATCCATCTGACTTGGATGCAAATCCAAGCCTTGTCACTTTTCACTGTGTGGCTTTGAGCAGGTATCTTAACCTCTCTGGTCTACTCTCTGTTTGCTTTTCTGAAAATGAGGACACCACAAATTGCCTCAGAAGGCCTTGAAGAGCATTAGATGAAATCAAGAAGCCAGCATGATAAATAATGACTAACCCCATGCCTCCATCTTAACCCCAGACCCTTTGAACAGAGATTTGCGTTTCTTTCGTCATATTCAGAGGAGCAAGGTTGGGAATTCAAAATTATGCCATAGGAAAAATGGATGAAAGAACCAGAATAAATTGCTTCAAGAAGGGGACACTGGATAGGAAACAAACAGGCTTGGAAGACTTCAGAGCAGCGGTTCTCAACCTTCCTAATGCCGCGAACCCTTAATACAGTTCCTCATGTTGTGGTGACCCCCAACCATAAAATTATTTTGGTTGCTACTCTATAACTGTAATTTTGCTACTGTTATGAATCGTAATGTAAATATCGTTTTGTTTTTCACTGGTCTTAGGTGACCCCTGTGAAAGGGTCGTTTGACCGCTAAAGGGGTCGCGACCCACAGGTTGAGAACCGCTGCTTTAGAGAAAGCTCTCATCTGGAGGAAGAGTTATTCTATAGCAGCCCTTGGGTTAAAATTAGAACCCGTATTGTGACATGTCCCAGGCTCTTTCATTTTAACCCAGGGATGAGGGCCTGTAAGCAGCGAGACCAAGCCTTCGGATACTGGAAAGATCCAGGCATGAAGCGAACAGTAAGCCTCTGACGGGGGCGGTAGCAGGGGCAGGACCTGGGTGAGAAACATCGCAAAAGAAGAACTGACAGGCGTCTGCTGTTGGGAGGTGGGTAACAAGGGAAGTAGAAATTCAGAGCCAGCTGTAAGGCTTTAAGCTTGGGTGATAAGGAGGCTAAAATTAGGAAGATAGCCAGTAGGGCAGAATTTTCAGAAGATGAAGCTAATTTAGGCTTCAGTCAACAGAGGTTGCAGTAAAAAATGTAAACAAAACTATTGCTAGAGGAAAACTCAGAGACAAGAATTTCATTTGCAAAAGTTTGTAAGAGCAGGCTTTCAGAGGACTAGTTTATCCAACAGAATATACAATAAGTATTTATAAGGAAAATAACACAATAGTATAAGCAGAGTTACCAAGTTTGCAGTTAGTCTGAGCTTGGGTTTACAAAAAGCCCAACAGTTTTCTCACATGGTTATTATATTATTATATCCCCAAAGGCCAGTGCATATCTTGACACGTCAACTTTGCAAAGAATAGGGCTTACGCTGGTTTTGTTAGGGAGTCAGCAACTTAACGGGAAAGGCTCAAGGTGTCATTTATTCTGGAACTGGAACTAGAGTCACTGTGGATTTTGTGTTTGCTTGTTTGGTTTTTGTCCTTCGCAAGATGAGAAGTGTGTTTTTCTCTTTTTCCGTTTTCCTTTTGTTCCCGACTGATGTGCGCATGCTTACCCATGATGGTCGCCGGGCATGATCTAAGAGGCAATGACAAATATAAGATGAAAGCTTGAGAGAGGTCAGGTAGACTGGAGAGACTCCTAAATACACTTCTCCACATGCCAGATCTCCATAGGAGCGTGACAGGGACAGGTTCAGCATAGCGTATGGTGAAGGGTAAATGACAGAGCCTTGGAGTGCCTGTATTCTCGGAGTTGGAGGAGGAAGAGTTGTCAGTAAGATGTCTGAATGCTCTCCCAGCCGGGGAGGAGCTCGGGTTCAGTGAGGGCACATCGGTGTGAATGGTGTCGGCTTCCCTCCGTGCGGTGGGCCTAATCCTGGTGGGAACACAGACCCACTGGGTCTGTCGGAATCCTGCCTAGCTCACGGTTTCTGGAAGGTTCCCTTCTGGCTCTGCTGTCTGATTTATCTCTTCCCTACCCAGCCTCTACAAGTTACCCCTTTGGTGCCAGAAATAAAGGTAACAGCCCAGTGCCCTAGTCTCAGAAGAAAGCAGGGTTTCTGTTTGTTTTGTAAAATAAAAAAGAACCCAGTAGTAAAAGGTATAACCATCGTTTTGTAAATCTAAGAGGTGTAGGATTCCGAAGTCCTCAGAGAGCCATGGTAGAAACAGGCAGACTGGAACGTTTACTGAATGCTTGCTGGGCGCTAAGGATTAGATGACTCACTTCTTCGGATTGCTTCCGTGAATATGAATAACCGCAGAATGGGGTAGGCACTGCTCTTTATTCCCCTTGTAAGTCATTTGCCCGAGGACATTCAGCTTTAGGACCCCAGGTCCTCTCTAACCCCCAAGCACATGGCTGTAATAGCTGTAATAGATTGCTTCTCTGCAAATGCATGGAGTCCCTTAATGAGGGTGACTTAAGTGAAAGTGTAAATACAAGGTGCCCTGTCCCCATGTGGACCAATCCTGCCTGTAAATAGTTGGCTTTCTCCTGTTTGGGGTGCCGGCTGCCAAAGCCAGTCACCTTGTTATGAATACCGAAGTTAAATACCAGTATATCCAGGTGTGTTCATGCTTAGAGCTAAGTTTTTTTCACGCTATTATGGAATACCTTCAGGTTTTCAGGTTACTCACAAAATAGACCACCTAGAGATAATTGTCCCAGTCTGAAGGAGCAAGATGCGAACGAGGAGCTGAGATGTGAGTCCAGCTCGGTTTCGCATCTCAGAGGTGGTGCTATGGGCGGTGCACAGTTGGAAGTAGGAAATGAAAGCCAAGAACATGGTCTGAGCTCTCTGGGCGGTTCCTGCAGCCCTGGGGAATGGGCCGAGGGGACGTTAGAGAGCAGGGAAGGGACACAGAGGACTACCCAGGAGAGGAGAATTGAGAAACGGCCTTCAGGCTTAGTGATCAAGAGCTGTGCCTGGTCTTTGTGAAGGCGTTTCCCATAGAGCACTGCAGCAGGGAACTGACGTCCCAACGGAAAGAAGTCAGTGAATGGCAGAGGTAAGGCACCCTTGCGTAGCCTTCTCTGTCCAAGAAATTTGGCGGCGGGGAAGGTGGGAGAGTAGCCAGCTGGGTCTCTGACGTCTCCTGTGTGTGCTGGGAGTGCCTGTGAGAAGTGCTAAGGTAATGCAGGAAATTACTGTTGTTCTTCAAAAAAAAAAAAAAAAAGGAGACTCATACATTGTTTTTGTTATTGAGAATTGTCAAAGTCAGCATCTCTGCTCATGGCTTTTCACCTGTCTGCTTACCCATCATCCAACTGCTAAATGGCCCTGTTGGTTTCTTCTCAGGGGGAGAAAAGCAAGGCCTGTGCCTGGTGTCCTTAAGCCACTTAGCAAGTCCCTGATACCCCAAGGTTTGTTTTCATGGGAACTGACTGGACTGTTTTGTTTTCTCCGTTCAAGTTGAGTGAGATACTCAAATTCGGTTTGGATAAACTGCTATCCTCAGAGGGGAGCACCGTGGATGAAATAGACCTGGAGTGTATCCTGGGAGAAACAGAAGACGGTCAGTGGGTCTCTGATGCCTTGCCTACGGCGGAAGAAGGGAGCAGAGAGCGAGAGGAAGGAAGTAAGTCGAGGGTGACAGCAGGTCAGATGGCACAGCCCCCCTAAGCTAGAACATGAGTGAGATGAGTCCCCAAGGGAAGTCCCGGATACTGTTCCCGGGGACGTCTTTGTCCCCACCCAGCCCGCGTCTCATCTTGGGCACACTGTGTAAGACTTACTTGGTCCAAGAACTCCTCCTAGACTGGCTGGAAGTTGTCTGCCTATTCTCTTATAGCTGAACATGAACTTTGATGATGATAATGCTTATGGTAGCATCAGCCTAAAGGATTTTAGTTTGTACTTTTCCTCACTTGGTTGCAAATATTGTATCTCCCGTGTTTATCAGTAAATCCGACTGTCCTTAGTATGGTGCTCTTTACACACTGGTTCCTTTTCTGAATAGGACAATGATTGGTTTTTTAAATTATAAACACTGATCGAGGCTTTATTCTGTGCTCAATCAAGAGTGTGTACGGTGTCATGAGCTTGATACCTAATTTTTCATTTTGTCTTCACAATACCCCATGAGGTGTATGTACCATTAATTTTAATTCTTTAGTGAAGCAATACATGAAGATTTTTGTCTTTCTCTTAAATTTTTCTTTTTGAGTTTGGTCAACATTCGTCTTTTTTGTCCACTTCCATTCTGAATATTTGGGTTTCTGATTGGAAGTGTGTTTTCAGTAGCTTTGTAAGGATGTTCCCTGATGTCCTATGGCTGTTTTTTTTTTTTAGAAGATTTTATTGGGGAATTGGGTGGAGGGGAACAGCATTGGGGAATCACGAAAGGGGAACAGACAGGTAGACAAATTGCTGTTTTTGTTCTTCAGTCTAGTTGTGGAGGACTTCGCTTCACTGGCTCATGTTGGTATGATCATTGTGCTCTTCCCAGATGAGGCAGATCAGTCGCTGGTCATTGGTCGGTGGCTCCCGGCAGCTCACGCTGGCTGCCAGCCACTCACGTAGCTCACGGCAGCCCACTGCAGGGGCTGCAGCCTACGCCGTCACCAGAGACTCACAGCAGCCCAGCTCCAGGTCCAGCTGTTGTTCATCATCTTAGCTGTAGAGGGCAGCATCACTGGCCCTCAATGTGGGATCCGAACCGCAGCCCTGCTGCTCAGAGCTGGCGCTCCCAAGCGAGCTCTTAACCAGCTGAGCCACTTGACCGATCCCTCCTATGACTGTTTGAAAGGACTTTATTTTCCTGTATCAGGACTCGGGTGAGAGGTTTCAGGGTTCTAACTAGGCTTCTTAATTCAAGAGACCCTTATTCCGTGGTTACCCAGAAGTGCAATTTCTTCTCTAGATGGTGCCACTTTGTTTTGGTGGCGAGTGGGATCAGCGTGACTTCTCGCTTTGTGATCGATTCTCTTTTGTTTTTGTAGGACCCTGAATTTCCATCGCTTGCTTCCTTCTCTGCCAGAAAACTGTGAAGGCGGGCCTCCCCCTTGTCAGTCTCTCTCCCCGCAGAAGCAGCGCCTCCCCCAAGCGCTGGCGTGTACTTTCTAGTCCTTTCCGTTCGATTCCTTCGTAGCCCCCAAGCGCTGGCGTGTACTTTCTAGTCCTTTCCGTTCGATTCCTTCGTAGCCAGTGCTCTGATCTGCCAGGTGTCAGGCCTGTCCTCACTAGTTTTGCATTTGAGGTGCGACCCTCTTTTGGGGGGATGGATTTCACCTGCGCCTGGCACTGCTGGAACCCCTCTGTCCTCCCCTTTCTTGCAGTCTCTCCTGACTTCCGCTCCAGTGTGGGCTTGGGGGCTGGCTCAGCTGGTTTTGCACATTTATTTCTCTACTTAGCTGCACATTGAAGTCTGTGGTAGTCGGATTCCTCATTTGCAGGTGGCATGGATTGGGGTGTTATCTTGTTCACCTGGATGGTGGTTGTAGGACATTGCAGTGTAGGCAGCTGGTGGCACTGCTCTGTCGGACACCACTCTGACTTTTCTCATAGTTTTTTACAATTTTTAATATTAGTACCCCCTTTTTATTCTTCAAGTACTCCTCTGACTCTGCTGTTGTTTTAATTGTATCCTGTTGTTGAGAGATATAATATCCTCTCCGAGGACACTAAGTACAGCTTCTAGAATGTATTGCAGGGAGAACATTTTTTATAGCTTTTAAAAAAGTATTCCTCCGCCCCCGGCATTGTCTGTCGTTCTTCCAATTACCGCTGCTGCTTTTTTCAAAACTTGTTTTGGAATCTCGTGTCCTCGTTGATAGTTTTCCTGGAGTATCTGGTGTTCCCTGGCTGTCTGATCACATGTCCCTATAAAGCGCCATCGTTGGTGGGCAGCCCTGGTCTGAACAGATATATGGGCTCTTGGTCCCTGTGCCAGCATTACTGGGGTGGACCAGCTTTCGCATTGAGGGGCCTTTCCAGATGTATGTATGTGAAGTCGTTTTACTGGGCAACTCGGTTGCTCCAGAGACAGATCCTTTACTGTCTTTCTTGGAAGAGGTGGGGTAGGGGTTTACTCAGAGTGAAGCGATGGTGTGTGTCAGGGGCTCACGCCCTCTCCCCCCCCCATTATTTGGTGTGAGGAGCTCTCTCAGGTCCCCGCCCCATGGTACCTTGTCCTTGTAAGTCCTAGGCTTCCGGAAGATTGGAAGGGTCTCTGTCCTGATCACCCCTTGACGAGGCATCTGCGTTTTGCTGCTTTTCTGTTCTCCTGAATCTGTCACCACCCCTCCAGCCCCTCCCATTGTCCACTGAAAATGAGTTATTGAACTTTTCATTCACTGTTGCCTCAGGTATGTTTTAAGAATCCCTTTACTGCCAGTTAGTAGTTTTAGGTGGGAGAAGAAATAGATGCACGTGGTCCTCTTTTTCAGTTACATTTTGAATGCTTTCAAAGTGTTTGTGACGCTTGGACCCATTTCTGCACTCATCTAGATTAATTTCAGCTTATTTTTCTTTTTTTTTTTTTTTTTTTTTTTTAGCTGAGCCATCCCGCCACCTGTTGGCAGCTCACGGCTACTCAGCTCGGGCTGACTCGAACCGCTGTTGCTCAGAGCTCAAACTCTTGAGCGAGCTCTTAACCAACTGAGCCACTCAGCCGGCCCTAGCTTATTTTTCTAACGTTTACCAGAACAAAATAAAATTTCACTTTTCCAGAAAGATAATTATATTTCTCAGTCAGTCCAACATCCAAAAAACAATGATTTTTTTTTCAGGCAGTCCAGCTGCCAGAAAAGATTTCCCAGTTGTATTAAAATTGGGACTTTTGTCTTTGATCAGTGAGCGCAGGTTCACTCTGTGATAGATGATTCCCCTGGCAAGACGTGGACGAGGGTCTCGGCCTGTGGTCCCCAACCTCCTCTTGTGAAGACAAGGAACACAATTAAAAATAATATTGTATAAATGAAAGTAAAAGATTAGTAATTAAGGCAGCCCCAATCAGAACTAAATAAAAAACAAGGTTGCTTTCTCTTGAATGCCAGGGTATTTTAAAACAGCATGTTTGTAAGTTCAGAATTGCTTGCAGTATGAAGCTATAATACATATGTTGATCATACTTGACACTTCTCAGCTCTTTGTATCTTTTCCTACTTGTTGATAGAGCACCTCATTGAAAGCCCCCTGCTGATTTAATTAGCAAATGCCAATTAGAATTACAGCTGGTTGGATTTGGGTACAAGTGTGAAGCAGTTGATCTCTTGAGAATGAAAATGTTTTGCTTTCGTACTCTCTAGAGGAAACATACTTATAGCTGATTTCATAATGCTTTGAAAATACATTCTTTGGTAACATGTGCTATTCACAACGCTTCACTTTAGAATCATTATCTCACGTCTCTGCCTTGACACGTTGTTCCTGTATCACTGATTCACGATCTTAGCAGATCACCCAACCTCTTTGGGCCTTTGTTGTCCTCATCTGTGAAGGGGTGTTGTTAAGGTCTGCTTTACCCCTTTATTAAACAGTTGTTAAAATGTGATAATAGATGTGAGAGCTCTGATAGCATAGAATGCTATTCAAGATGACACCATTGTCATTATCATTATTACGATAGTGATTGATTGCCGTGCTGTCCCCGTCCTTCCATAGATACAATAATATGCTGAAAAGAGCACACTGGCCTTAGAGTCAGAAAGTCCTGCCTCCTTGATTAGCAGTAAGAATTGGAGAGCCCCTTAATCCCTGCCTGACCCCCATTTTCCCTTTCGTTAAGTGGGGTTAGTTCCACCAGGATTGTGGGGAGGCCCATGAAGATGCTTCATGAGATCTAGAAGGAACATTGTAAATCTATTTACGAGTCTTCATTTTTTCCATAGATTTGCCACTCGTTCCTTTACTATTGTAGAAAAGGGGGGAAAGAGTTGAGTATTACAAGTGGGTTCAGAATTTGTTCCTGGTTCCCAAAATGTCAGGAGATTTATGCTGAGGAATAGTGTGGAGTGAGTGAGTAATGAGTGATCCAAGACTCCACAGGGCGGGGGTATCCCACAGACTCGGGGACCATATGGAGATGGGCCACAGGGCTTTGGCCATGCGCTCTCCTTTGAAAACGAATGTGTGAGACCCCCGTGTGGATCCCAAACCCCTCATTGGGATCAGAAATGCGGTACCTTCGTGATAAACCAGTCTTCAGCCCATTTAGAATACAAGCTGCCCTCTTGGTACCCTGGTTATTGCTTTGCCTTGAACTAATCCATTTTTCTTTAGTATCTAACATGGTTCTTTTTGTGTTTTATGTTCTTAGAAAACCACATGTACTTATTTGAGGGGAAAGACTATTCTAAGGAGCCTAGTAAAGAAGACAGAAAATCATTCGAGCAACTGGTGAATCTGCAGAAAACCCTTTTGGAGAAAACTAGTGAAGAGGGCCGGTTACTCAGAAATAAAAGCAGTGTAAGAACCATTCATTTACATAAAAGAATAGATTCTCCCAAATTCTCATTCTAAGAGAACCAAAAAATGATGCTGGGAGTGATTTATTAAGAAATAAGTATGTAACTGTTGAAATGTATATGTCAGTATTCGTTGAAATGTAAGTATAATTCACTGTACCCTAGTATAAAAATGATGTGAAAAGTTGGCGTTAAAACATTAACCAGAGAGCATATTTTACCACTCTGTCCATCTAAGCCACCCTGAGGGATCACTGTTACGCTAGTACCACCCTCTGCTGTTGACAATTGTGACCCCATCTCCTTAGCGATGTTGTTTATGATTGCAATCCTCTCTCTTTTTTTTTTTTTTGTAATTTTTTTTATCGGGGAACAGCCAGAGTCATTGGTTACACATTGCTTTCATGCTACAATGGCATAGTTGACTCTTTTAAGGAGGGCGCAGCTCACAGTGGCCCATGAGGGGATCGAACCGGCAACCTTGGTGTTCTCAGCACCACGCTTTAACCAACTGAGCTAACCGGTCACCCCACGATCCTCTCTTAATGATACACTTAGTATGTGCTGATTGAAAGCTAGTTAGCTTAAGATAGTCACAATGTTGAAATATTCTGCTTAAAAGAATAATACAATACAGTATAGGAAGATTTCCATTAAAAATGGTTAAGCCAAAAATAGCATCTTACAGGGTATGCTTTCAATAAAAAAAAAAAAAAAGAAGTTACTTTTCTGAAGTACCTCATTCCTAACAAAATTAATCAAAATGATGTATGCTGTACCAAGCATGGCAGTGCTCTGGTTGAGTTTAGACCACAGTGTCCTGGTCACCATGCCTGGGAGATGTGTGATGGAAGTACAAACGGAAGTGTTGCCACCACGTCCCACCACACGAGGTGGTGTGGAGATGCAGTGTTTTGTGAAATACTAAGCACGTTGCTTCCGTGCAGAGTGCGTCTTAGGAATGAATGAAACTCCTGCAGGAACAGGCAGCCCCCACACGCCAAACTTCCTGGTCAAGCATCTTGCCCTTCCTCCAGGTTCTCATCCCAGGCCTGCTGGAGGGCTCTACCAAAAGGAAGCGCATTCTAAGCCCAGAAGAGCTGGAGGACAGACGAAAGAAAAGACAGGAAGCAGCAGCCAAGAGAAAGAGAGTAATGGAGGAGAAAAAGAAGAAAAAGGAAGAAGAGGAACATCAGAAAAAGTATGTGTGTGTGATTGGTATTATAAATTGGGTCACCATTGTATAATGAGCTCTCAGTTGAACATCACTTAAAAATTGCAGAAAGCTGCTGTAAACCTGGTAGCTCCTGGTGGTAGACGATTTTTTTAAAGACTGAACTTGAACAGTTAGTCTACTTCAGTGAAAAGTCCTGAGGCAAAGAAAACGCCCTGCATGGAGGCAATAAGATTTTAAGACCCTAACCTAGCTGTCGAACAAAAAGTAGTTTCTTCCCATAGTCCCTTTCAGTCATGTGCTTGAAAACAGGACATCTGGTAGCCACTCATTACTGAAGTATATGGTCCGGAGGCCAATCAGCAGCCGCCTTATTCATGTACAAATAGGCAGAAAACCCAATTGGGATGAGTCTGGAGTCACGTTTCCATTTGGCACTTAGTATTTGTGAACAGCAGTACAAAGCGTGCTCCGAGGGGACCTGTGCTCCGCCCCGTTCATTTCCTCTCTCTGGCCTGTTGAAGGATGGCCTGGTGGGAGTCCAACAATTACCAGTCCTTCTGCCTGCCTTCCGAGGAGAGCGAACCCGAGGACCTGGAGGACCAGGAAGATGAGAGCTCTGCTCAACTGGATTACGAAGACGCAGACTCGACCTCCATCACGTATGTCAGCGGTGATGTCACCCACCCACAGGCTGGGGCGGAGGACGCTATCATCGTGCACTGCGTAGGTAGGAGAAGTGGTGGGGACCCCGACTTACTCGTGCCACGAACTGGGGAGCATGAGGCCCAACCCTGACCTGGGGTGATTGATGGACTGTGCTGTCTCGTGTGGTCAAAACAAAAGTGTAAATTTTAGAATCAGGAGATGTGGGTTTGACTCCTGTTAACTCTTATTTACTTGGCTGAGTAACCCCACCTTCCTGGGCCTCAACTTCCTTATTCGTATGATGGGAACATGTCTGCGCTGTTCTCTACACGAGGTTTTTGAGAGGGTGAACGGAGGCAACGTCTGCAAGATAAATGAATCCTTGGAGAAAAAGCAAACTCCCAAGCGTATTCCCTCCTCGCTACCTTGGCACTTTTTACTTCTCCTGCTTGGAACCCTTTTTCCCCAGAGAGCCACCATCCAGCATTGTTCACACGTCCACGTCTCAGCGAGGTCCCCCCGATCGCCTCATATAGAGCAGACCCATCCTCACCCCTCTGTTTTCTCTGTCCACTTTCCTACCTTGTTTGACTTGATGACACATGTCACCAGCTGGCATATCACATGTGTATTTGCTTATTTGACTGTTTCATTGCACTAGAAAATAAGCTTCTATTTTCTAGAGTGGGAGCAGGGATACTTTTTTGGTCTACTGTTGCAAGCCTCGTGCCCAGAACGGTGTCCTACATGTAACACATGCTAACAAACATTTGTAGTAGGATTGAATGAATGAATGACTAGATACAAGGTACTAACCAGCGGTGTCAGCACTAACCAACTCGAATAAGTCGCTTAACCTTCTCCCTCCTTACCTGTAAAACGGGAGTCGTGGACCGGTGATCCAGCTCTTTGGGGTTACGTCTCCTCTCCATCCTTCCCACTCATCTCCCAGGAATTACACAAGTAGCAGAGATTTTGCTCTTTCAGGACGCCAATTTTTTCAATGTTATGATGGCCAGGTATAGTCCAGAAAACCGAAACATCTTGGAGAAGTCCAACCTATGATATTCCTAGGAGGTTAGGTTGATTTTTCCAGAAGGAATAAAAATTTCTTCTCCAAGTCTCTTCGATGTACCTTGGTTTGGTTTGGTTTTGATTGGGGGCTGGACTTTGCCTCCTATAGAAGAACATTTTCTCTTCTATCAGATGACTCAGGCCGTTGGGGCAGAGGCGGTTTGTTCACAGCTCTGGAAAACCGATCCACTGAGCCAAGAAAAATATATGAGCTGGCTGGGAAAATGAAAGGTAAGGAGCACAGCAGAGAGAAGGGTTAGGGATGGAATAGGAGGGGAGAGGCATCGTGTGGGTTAAAAAGCCCTCGATGAGGAGTCGGAAGAGCTGATTGGAGTCTGATTTCTGACGTCAGTTAGCTACTTGCTATGTGACTTGGAGGCCGTCCCTTACCCTCCCTGTGCTTGTCTTCTCGTTTGTAATTTGAGAGTAATTCTACCCCACCTACCTCATGGGACTGTAATGAGGATGACGAATGTGCAGGTATTTTGATAAACGTCGATCCCTGCATGCATGCTGACGTTTAGCATTTCATTGTGTACCCAACTCACCCCATCTTCGTAAGGGAATGACTCTCTCATGAAAATGGCAGCGACCTGCGGGAGAGAGAGCAGGCACACCGATAAGTGCGAGAGCTGGTATTGCGAAGTTCGCACGGGCTGTGGTGTCACGCTCCCAGGAGACGGCGGTCAAGCTGTTTGGTGCTGGGGGAACTCAGGTGGCTGGCAACACTGTCCCTCAGCAGACAGAACGTGGGTGAGGGCTCCTCCTTTTATGTGCAGAAATCACAAAGTGGCAAGAAGAGTGTAACTATTATTGTGATATTTCCTGGGGAGCTGGAGAGGCTAAGGGGCCGTGTCCACTAGCTAAGCACCCGTCAGATTTCTTAGAGATGAGATGGGATTTTCCTGATTCTTCTGCCCAGTTCTCTCGGGTAGAAAGGGATGTAAGGACTTAGAGTCAGTACCCTTCCTACTACAACAGATGACTGGACGAAGGGTGTAGTATGTGTTGAAATAATTACCCCAGACCTAGATATTGAATGGGCAGTTGGACAAGCAGAAAGGCCAGAGCTCAGAGCTAGACAAGCAGACGGAGGAGTCCCTCTTGGATCCTTGTTTGAAACCATGACGGAGGTAGGATGGAGACATGAGAGGGCAGGGAACAAATCATGGAAGCACCTCCATTCAGCAGCAAGGAGGAGACACAGAAGGAATTGTCGGAAAAATAAGAGAACCTTGAGAATGTCGTATTTTGAGGTACAGGGGAGGGGAAAATGTCAGGAAGTGGTCTGCATTGTCAGACATGGAAGGGAGGATGAGCGCTGAGAACAGGCCTGTTGCATTCGCCCCAAGGGGAGCCACCTGACCTGGGAGCACTTTGAGGAGGGCTGAAGGTGAAAATCTGCATTCACAGAGTTAAAGTAGAAGTGGTGCGTAAGAAAACAGAAGTGGAAGTGTGCACTCTTCTCTGAAGAAGGATTGAATTAGGGTAGATGAAAGCGTGCACGAGAATTACCAGGGAGGGCTTCATGGAAGTGGTGAAAGTTATCTCAGGACGAGGAAGATGGGTAGAGTCGAAAGAGGTGGAGAGAAATGGCCAGAGAGGCCCTGGCCTGTCTCATTCTTTCTGGTATCCCCACATCTCCTATCATTCCCAGTACAAGGTATCGAAGGACCCAGGCAGTCGCACAGCGGATGTGTTTGGGGGATGATGCTTCAGCCAGGCAGGCTGGAGGAGAGTTGAGATTTTAGAGAGAGGTTTGTGTCACCTCACAGAAGACTGTACATGGCTTGTCCAGAGAGATGCTACTCGAAGGCTCCAGTGGGTAATGGCTTGTCATCGGAGACCTGGGTAGAAGAATGACAAAGCAGAGCCAGTATTTTAGAGTGACTTAAAAGACTTGGGGTACATAATGGCTTGAGAGCGTTAAGAAGGTTCAAACTGGAGTATGTAAAGCCACAGAATGAACATAGCACATTTTTTTTTT